CATCTGTGTGAATGTGTGTACGTTTGTGTGTGTGTGCATCTCTGTGAATGTGTGTACATTTGGTGTGTGTGCATCTGTGTGAATGTGTGTACGTTTGTGTGTGTGCATCTACGTGAATATGTGTACATTTGGTGTGTGTGCATCTGTGTGAATGTGTGTATGTTTGTGTGTGTGCATATCTGTGTTTGCATCTGTATCTGCTTCTGTGTGTTTTTGTGTTTGAGTGTATGTGTATGCAGATGTGTGTGTCAGGAAAATCTTCTCCCCAAATCACAACATTTTAGGAGGTTAAATAAAGGAAAGCTCTATTCAGTGGAAGGATGGTTGGTAATTAGAGGACACAAATTTAAGGTAATTGGCAAAAGATTAGAGAATGAGATAAGGTAAAATGTCTTAATGCAGTGAGTTGTTGGAATATGGGATGTGAATGGATGGTGAAAGCAAATTTCATAGCAACTTTCAGCTTAGAACAGAATTAAACTTTCTATTCTCTACTCTGAGGGCTGTGGGTGCTTGGCCAATGGGTACATTCAACACAGAGATTGACAGAGTTTTGAACTTTAAAGGAACCAGGGATATAAGGATAGTATGGCAAAGTGCACTTAACAGGTTTGAGGGGCTGAATGGCCTAGTTCTGCTCATACAACTTATGTTTGTTTCTACATTCTTAATAATTTGATGGAGAGATTTGCAGGGCTATGGGGAAAGAGTGGGGTAGTGGGTCTAATTGGACAGCCCAATCGAAGAGCTAGCATGATCACAATGGGACCAATGGTCTCCTTCTGTGCTGTAAGGTTCTATGATTCCCACCATTACCATAAATGGAGTTTCTGAGTCAGTAGCATGATGGAGTGAGGACCATGAGGGATTTCATGAACTGCATGTGCGCTGAGCTACTCCCACCTGTAACTCATGTGATGAACATGACCCTAGTAACATCTCCCTCCTCTTACAGGTGGTACAACAAGAACATCAGCCGAAACAAAGCAGAGCAGCTGCTTCAGAAAGAGGTGAGGGGTTTGACTGTCACTCCTTCTGGGGCCAGGGTGTGAGAATGTGAAGCAGATTGTGAGGGGAGTCGATTAACTGCAGACTGTCCAATCAACCGGGTGGAGGAGAATTGCTTCAGTAGTGAGTGACAATAATGGGAGCACGTTTTGTGCATAAAAACATAGGAATGTGGAAAATTTGTTGTACGGAAGGAGGCCATTTAGTCCATCTTGCAGTGTTGGCCACAATGTATAGCTATCCACTTGGCGCATAGATTACAGCACTATCCAGGAAATATCCATTCATTTGGGATGTGGGCTACAGAAGTCATTGACCAGTCTCCATTGCCTGAGAAGGTAGCAGTGAACTTCTTCTTGACCCATGTTGGATGGTTTAATACAAACCTTCTGTCTTGATAGACCTTAATAGTCTTAATAGACCTTAAAAAGACCTTAATAGTTTTAGAGTCATACAACAGAGAAACAAACACTTCGGACTGACAAGTCCATGCCAACCGTAATTCCAAACTAAACTAGTCCCACCTGCCTGTGTTTGGCCCATATTCCTCCAAACATTTCTCAATCATGTACTTATCCAAATATTTGGGGCAGCATGGTGGCTCAGTGGTTAGCGCTGCTGCCTCACAACCAGGGACCGGGTTCGATTCCACCCTTGGGCAACTGTCTGTGTGGAGTTTGCACATTCTCCCTGTGTCTGTGTGAGTGTCCTCCAGGTGCTCCGGTTTCCTCCCACAGTCCAAATATATGCAGGCTAGGTGGATTGGCTTAGGGATGTGTAGCTTAGGTGGGTTATGCAGGATGGGTCTTGGTGGGATGCTCTGAGGGTCAGTGTGGATTTGTTGGGCCGAAGGGCCTGTTTCCACACTGTAGGGATTCTATGATTAATGATCTGTAATTTTTTTAAATGTTGTAACTGTACCCACATCCATCACTTCCTCAGGAGGTTCATTCCACCCACGGGCCCTTTCTGTATAAAAAAATTGTCTTTCAGGTCTTTTTTAAAATTTTCTCTTCTCACCTTAAAAAATGCCCCACAGTCTTGAAGGTCCCCACCCTAGGAAAAAGACACCACCATTCACTTTATTTATACTCTTCATGATTTTACGAACCTCAATAACACCTCTGAACCTCCTATGCTCCAGGAAAAAAATGGCCCAGCCTATCTGCTTCTCCCTATAACTGAAACCCTCCATTCCCAGCAACATCCTGGTAAATCTTTTCTGAACCCTCTTCAGCTTAATAATATTCTTCCAATAACTGGCAGAACCGCACATGTTGATGTGGTACTGGAGGCAACTGAAGGCCAAGACAGGGTAGGGGAGTCCAAAACTACAGGACATAAGTTTAAGGTGAGAGGAGAAAGATTTAAAAGGGAACTGAGGTGTAACCTTTTCACACAGAGGGTGGTGCATGTATGGAATGAGCAGCCAGATGAAGTGGTGGAGGCTGGTAGAATTACAGCATTTAAAAGGAATCTGGACAGGCACATGAAAAGGAAGAATTTAGAGGGGTATGGGCCAAATGCTGGCAAATGGGACAAGAGTAATTTAGGATATCTGGTTGACATGGACAAGATAGACTGAAGGGTCTGTTTCTGTGCTGTACATCTCTATGACCAGTAAGGATTCCAGGGTTCCTTTCTAAAGGATATTCCTAAACCAGATGGGTTTGTAATGCCAATACAACAGCTTCACAAACACTTTTACAGAAACCAGATTTTCAAAAGTTCTTTCATGGGATGTGCCTGTTGTTGGCAAGGTCATCGTTTACCACCCATCCCTAATTGCCCCTGTACTAAGGGGACTGTGAGGCCATTACAGAGGGCAGTTAAAAGTCAACCACACCACTGTGAGCCAGGCCAGACCAAGTCAGGGGAGGCAATGGCCTTGTGGTATTATTACTGGACTGTTAATCCAGAGATCCAGGTAATGCCCTGGGGACCTGAGGTCGAATCCCATCATGGCAGATGGTGGAATTTGAATTCAATAAATATCTGGAATTAAGAATCTAATGGTGACGATGAATCTGTTGCCAATTGTTGGAGAAAGCCATCTGGTTCACTAATGCGCTTTAGGGAGGGAAACTGCTGTCCTTACTTGATCCGGCTTACATGTGACTCCAGACCCACAGCATTGTGGTTGACTCATAACTGCCCTCTGGGCAATTAGGGATGGGCAATAAATGCTGCCTGGCCAGTGACAGCCTCATCAGGTGTGTGAATTAAACAAAAACAATTGTGACAGCATTTCCACTGCCAATCTTCTATGAGCAGTACTCTGTGCTCTGGTTAGTGATCCTAAAGGAAAACAAATCATTTAATTTATAATACAAATGTGGCATGTGATATGAACTAGTGGACTGATCCACATTTAAGCAATATAACTAAATTTCCTTTATTCCAGTCGAGTTTCAAAAGAACGTCTCAATCCGTCTTGTTTAACTTCACAAACTTTTCTGAAGCAAATGGAATGATCAGGATTAGCCACAAAGTCTATGATTCTCTGTCATAGAATTGTAGAGGTCTACATCCCTTCAGCCCATCATGTTTGTGCTGGTCGTAAACTAAGTATTTACCACAGCAGCAAGTACTCTAAACCGTCCAAAACAAAGAATGATTGCGCCACTAAATCACGGTTTATTTATTATACTGGTGCTGCATGGCACTGCCCATATCCTAACTCTCACAAAGTCCTATTCATCCATGGATTCACTGGCCAATGTTAGTGACCAGTTGGACAGCAGCTCAGTTTTAAAGTTCTCAATGTGGTCTTCAAACCTCCCCTTGTCTAGTTCTGACCTCCGCCAATCCCATAGCTCAGGACACAGTCTTGCTCCACCCCCTAGACTCTGGCAAATCCCCTGAATTCAGAAGGTCCACCTCCGCCAGTCATGACTTCACCAGCACAGCATCAGGTTGTCATATTCCCTTGCGAAACCATTCCGAACTCTCTGTTGCATCTCCTCAACATCTAATACTTAAATCAAGCTTTTTGGCCGCATGTTGCAGCCCCTCGCAGGAGGTGATGTTGTGTGATGTTGTGATTCTGATAATTATTCATCTTGTAATGCTTGTGTTTCAGGGTAAACAAGGAGCTTTCATGGTGAGGGATTCGAGACAGGCTGGGATGTACACAGTCTCTGTCTTCACTAAAGCGACCAGGTAATGGGCTTTCTAACTCATCCCATCAATCTACTATGGGATCATTCCCGTAAAGTTTGGCCTCGAGGGACAGAGGGCAACACTGTCAAATTGTCAGCACTGAGGGAGTGCTTCATTGCTGAGTTGTCATTACTGACGGACTATTGCACTCTAGAAAAGTCAGTACTGAGGGGTGAGTGCATTGTTGAATTGTCAGTGAAGAGGCAATGCTGCACTCACATTAAACCAACATGCCATCTGACTCTCAGACGAATGTCAAAGATCCCAAAGCTGTGAAAGATGTGATTTTCCCTGATCCCCTTGTCAATATCAACCCATGGGCAAACATCACTAAACTGGTTATTTGGCTATTATCTCAGGATTTTATGTAGTATCATCCAGAGCTCAAACTGGATGCAGCATTTTAAATATGACAATACTGACTATACTCAAGAAGTAATTCATTAGCTTGCAAACAATTTCAAATGTATAAGGATGCTGCAAGATGCTAGACGAATGCAAGTTCTTGCTTTGGTTCCTGATTGCCAGTCTGTATACAGCTAACCCTCTCCCACACCCCAACGCTCTACACTGATACAGCTAACACTCTCCCACACCCCAACACACCACACTGTATCCAGTTAACCCTGTGTCACACCTCAACGCTCTACACCAGATACAACTAACTCTCTTTCATACCCCAACACACAACACTGGAGACAACACCTGGTGGGCAGATTTGCTCGTGCTGCAAGGGAGAGTTTAAACTAGATTGGCAGGGAGCTGGGATCCTCAACAGCAGAGGGGCAAGTGTGAGGCTGGAAGGAGATACAGTAATCAGAAATAGCAAGTTGAAGATACAGGACAGGCTGGAACAGGACAGGGAGTGAGGAATGCCTGTTGGATTAAATTGCATCGATTTCAATGCAAGAGGGCTGACAGCTAAGGCCAGTGAACTCATGGCATGGATAGATACATGGGGCTGGCATATTATAGCCATTACAGAAACATGGCTAAGGGAGGGACAGGACTGGCAGCTTAATGTGCCAGGGTACAGGTGCTTTAGGCAGGACAGAGGTGGAGGAAAGTGGGGAGGGGGAGTTGCATTTTTGATTAAGGGGAGTATCACAGCAGTAATCAGAGATGAAATAACTGAGGGATCATCCAGTGAGGCTTTGTGGGTGGAGCTAAGAAATAAGAAGGGAATAGTGACATTATTGGGGTTGTACTATAGGCCCCCAAATAGTTAATGGGAATTAGAGGAACAAATATACAGGGAGACTGGGGAAACTTGCACTAGCAATAGGGTTGTCATAGTGGAGTATTTTAATTTTCCTAACATAGACTGGGACTGCTATAGTGTTAAGGACTTAGACGGGGTGGAATTTGTTAAGTGTGTTCAGGAAGGTTTCCTCAAGTAGTACATAGAGGGTCCTACTTGGGAAGGGGCAAAACTGAACCTAATCTTGGGAAATAGGGCGGGACAGGTGACTGAGGGGACAGTGGGGGAGCACTTTGGGACCAGTGACCATAGTTCTATTAATTTTAAAATAGTTATGGAGAGGGACAAAACTGGTCCATAGGTTCAAGTTCTAAATTGGGGCAAGGTGAATTTTGATGGAATTAGACAGGAGCTTGCAAGGGGTTGGTTGCAGTAGTTTGTTTGCAGGTAAAGGGACCTCCAGCAAGTGGGAGGCCTTTAAAAGTGTGATAGTTCAAGTTCAAGGTCTATATGTTCCTGTGAGGGTGAAGGGCAAGGCTGGCAGGAGGAGGGAACCCTGGATGACAAGAGATATTGAGGCTTTGACCAGAAGAAAAGAAGGGGCATGGCTCAGGTACAAGAGCTGGGATCAAGGGAATCCATGGAGGTATGTAGGGGATACAGGAGTTTACTGAAGACGGAAATTGGGGGGGGCAAAAAGGGGGCTCGTGATAACTTTGGCCGAGAAGATTAGGGTGAATCCAAAGAGATTCTTTAAGTGTATTAAAGGAAAAACAATAACCAGAGAGAGAATAGGACCCCTCAAGGACCAAAGTGGACATGTAAGTGTGGAACTGCAGGAGATGGGTGAGGCTCTCATTGAATATTTCTCCTCTGTGTTTACCGTGGATAAAAAAAATGAAGACTTGGGAACTTGGGGAAGGTAGTGGCGATATCTTGGGGACAGTCCATATCACAGTAGAGGAGGTGTTGGAAGTATTAGAATGTATGAAGGTGGATAAAATCTCCTGGTCCTGATCAGATATATCCAAGAACACTGCAAGAGTCTACGCAAGAAATTGTGGTGTCCCTGGCTGATATATTTGCATCATTGTTAGCTGCAAATAAAGTCCCAGAAGACTGGAGGGTAGTGAATGTTGTGCCCTTATTCTAGAAAGAAAAACCTGGGAATTATAGACCAATAAGCCTAACATCTGTGGTAAGTTAGTTACTTGAGGAGATTCTGAGGGATATGATATGCATGCATTTAGAAAGACAAGGTTTGATTAGGAGTAGTCATCGCACAGCTTCTGTTTGGGAGATCATGCCTCCATAAATTTGTTAGACTTCTTTAATGAAGTGGCCAGGAAGGTTGATGAGGGCAGGGTGGTAGACGAAGTCTATATGGATTTCAGTAAGGCCTTTGATAAGGTTCCACACAGTAGGCTGCTCAGAAAGATTAGATCGCATGGAATCCATGGAGAGCTGGCAAATTGGATACACAATTGGCTTGATGGTAGGAAACAGGGAGTAATAGTGGAAGGATGCTTGTTGGACTGGAGGCCTATGACTAGTGATGTGCCTCAGGGGTCAGTGCTGGGCCCATTGCTGTTTGTTATCTATACCAATGATTTGGATGAGAATGTACTGGGAAGGTTTAGTAAATTTGCAGATGACACTAAAATAGGCGGTATCATGGACAGTGAGGAAGGTTATCAGAAATTGCAGCAAGATCTTCATCAGCTGGGAAAGTGGGCCAAGAAATGGCAAATGGAGTTTAATATAGATAAGTGTGAGGTGTTGCATTTTGGAAAGTCAAATCAAGGTAGGATTTTCATGGTGAATGGCAGGGCCTTAAGGAGTGTAGTGGAACAGAGGGACCTTGGAGTTCAAGTGTATAGTTCTTTGTAAGTAGAGTCACAGGTAGACAGGGCAGTGAAGAAGGCTTTTGGCACACTGACCTTCATCAGTCAGGGGACTGAGTACAGAAGTTGGGAAGTTATGTTGCAGTTGTACAGGACATTGGTGAGGCCACATTTGGAGTATTGTGTTCAGTTTTGATCACCTTGCTATAGAAAGGATGTTTTTAAACTAGAAAAAGAGCAAAAGAAATTTACAAGGATGTTGCCAGGACTCAAGGGACTGAGTTACAGGGAGAGGTTGGACAGGCTAGGACTTCTTTCTTTAGAGCGTAGGAGACTGAGGAGGGATCTTATAGAGGTGTGTAAAATCATGAGAGGCATGGATAGGGTGAATGCACTCAGTCTTTTTCCCAGGGTTGGGGAAATTGAGGACTAGAGGGCATCAGTTTAAAGTAAGAGGGGAAAGAATACATGGGAACCTGAGGGGCAACTTTTTTATACAGAAGGTGGTACGTATATGGAATGAGCTGCCAGTGAAAGAGGTTGAGGCGGGTGCATAAACAACATTTAAAAGGCATTTGGGCAAATACACAGATAGGAAAGGTTTAGAAGGATATGGGCCAAATGCAGAGAAATGGGGTTAGCATGGATGGACATTTTGGTCGGAATGGACCAGTTTGGGCCAAAGGGCCTGTCTCTATGCTGTAGGACTCTCTGACTCTCACACCCAACTCTCTCCACTGCATACAGCTAACTCTCTCCCACGCCCCAACACTCTACACTAGATACAACTAATCTTTTTTCACACCCCAACACACAACACTGTATCCAGCTAACCCTCTCTCACACCTTCAGACTTCGACACAGAACACTGGATCGAGCTAACTTGTTTTCACAGCCTCATCCCCTAACGCTCTACACTAGATACAGTTAATGCTCTTTCACACACCAACACAGCCCAGTACAGCTGAATACTGTGATTTTTGCAGTGATAGCTGACAAGGCACGATTAAGGTAAAATATCAATTCTTCAGTTGTTTTGGGCTGAGCCTGATTTTAACCTGTTCTGCTGATGAGGGGAGGTGAAGGTCATTGTGGGGGTGTTATTAAGGCATGAAGGCAGCCTTGTTGCTCTGGCTGTGGAGGACAATGCTCCAGCTTCTGATTGCACTGGATTGGATATTCCCCAGCTGATACATAGCCGAAATCAGAAACATCTCTCTAATGATCTGGAAATGAAATGTAAAAAGGAATTTCACCTCCTGTCACCTGGACCATGTTTGTAACAGCTTGCATGTGAGTGTGTGCATGTGTGTGTCTGTGTTTGTGTTTTTGTATTTGTGTGCATCTTTGTGTGTGTATTTGTTTTTGAGTCTTAATGTGCATGTATATGCATGTGTGTGTTTATGTGTGTATGTCTGTTTGTGTGTGTGTGTTTCTGTGTGTGTGTGTCTGCATGTGCATATGTGTGCATGTATATGTATGTGCATGTGTGTTTTTGTGTCTGTGCATGTATGTGTGTTTGTGAGTCTTTGTGTGCATGTGTATGTGAGAATGTGTGTGTGTACATATATGCATGTGTGCTCATGTGTGTGCGTTACTGTGTATGTGAGTGTGAGTGTGTGTGTGTATGTGTGTGTGTGTATGCATGTGTGAGTGTGTGTGTGTGAGTATGTGTGTGCATGTGAGTATATGTGTGAGTGTGTGCATGAGTGTTTGAATGTGCGTGTGAGTATCTGTGTGAGAGTGTGCATGTCTGAGTGTGCATGTGTGAGTGCATGTGTGCGTGAGTGTGTGCATGTGAGTGAGCGTGTGTGTGTATGTATGTGTTTGCGCGTGTGATTGTCTGTATGTGAGAGGATGAGTGTGTGTGTGAATCTGTGTCTGTGTATACAAGTGAGTGTGTGTGTGTGTATGTTTGCATGTTTGTGTGTGCATGTGACTGTGTGTGTGTGTCAGTGAGTGTATGTGTCAGTGTGAGTATGCGTGTGTGTGCGTATGAGTGTGTGTGAGTGTAAGTGTGTGTGAGCGTGAGCATGTGTGACTATGAGCGTGTGAATGTGTTTGTGTGTGTCTGTCTGTGTGTGTGTGTATGAGTGTGACTGTGAGTGTGTGTGTGTATGTGAGTGTGTGTGACTGTGTGTGTGTATATGAGTGTGTGAGTCTGTGTGTGTGTGTGTGTGTACGTGAGTGTGTGTGAGTGTGAGTGTGTGTGTGTGAGTGTGTGTGACTGTGTGTATATGTGAGTGTGACTGTGTGTGTGTATGTGAGTGTGTGTGTGTGTGTATGTGAGTGTGACTGTGAGTGTGTGTGAGTATTTGTGTGTATGTGACTCTGTGTGTGTGTGTGTGTGTGAGAGAGAGAGAGACTGTGTGCGTGTGTGTGCGTGTGTGTTTGAGTGTGTGTGTGTGTGACTGTGAGTGTGTGTGTTTGTGACTGTGAGTGTGTGTGTGTGCGTGTGTGTGTGAGTGTGTGAGTGTGTGTGTGTGTGTGTGTGTGTGTGACTGTGAGTGAGTGTGTGCGTGTGTGTGAGTGTTCAGTGCAGTGAGGTTTGCAAGAACCTAATGCATGAAGGGAATGGTAGACCACATCCTCTTGAACTAAGCTCTCCAAATCCTGCCACCTAATGTGTGAAAAATGACGAGGGGTGAATATATATTCTGAGAAATGATTTTTTTTACAATAAATTAAGGTTTCAGATTTCAGAATCTGTGCTGCCGTTAAGCCTTACAGTCACTGTGGTGGCAATCCATTTGTAGCCCTGTACAGTTCCACTAGCCATACAGACCAGCACCTGGGAAGCTTCTACTCACCACCCACCCAAACTAACTTACCCCCACCCCCCAACATCCATGTTGTGTGCTGACCTGGAAACACTTGATCTTTTTGGTGTAAAATTGAGTTTGACAACTCTCCTGTTGTCAGTCAGCCTGTTCCACACTGACTCCCATTTGTCCAACGTCAATGTCTTTAATTTCTCATTCTGGGGTGGGCATAGGTACAGGCAGTGAGACAGAAGGACAGAGACAGAAAGGCACTCAGAGGCAGCAAGGTAAAGAGAGATAGAGTGATGGTAAAAGAGTGAAAGAAAGAAAAAGAGGGAGAGACAGACAAATAGTTTGAAGGAGAGAGACCATGAGATAAAGCGATAGTGAGAGTAAAAGAGTGAGAGAAAGGAATAAAGATGGGGAAAGAAAAAGCAAGAGAGGGACATAGCTAGAGAGATGAATAGAGTTCAAACAATGGAAAAAGACAGAAATATTAAGTGTCAGCAAGAAATAAAAGACAGATGAAGACAAAAATTGAGCAGGGCAGAGGAGTAGAAAGAGAGATGGAGAACCAGCGAGACAGTGAAAGAAGGAGGGAGAGAAATCATTGGAAAGATTAAGAGAGTGGGACCCAGGACTTAAACAGTCCAATAGCCTTGGATAAAAGAAATCACTGAGTTCCCCAGTCTCTCTGACATCTCTAGCCCAATTTACCTCTGGCTGTTTCAAATTGACTCACGCCGGTTTCTTCCAATGAGAAGGACTATTTGGTTGAGATGGTCCATTAGTCAAGATTCTACTGTAATGTGCTTTGAAGTTGTGAATATATAGTTGTGTCGATATAAATGCAAGTTCCCTCTTTTTGTTTTAACTTCTACCAGTGAGAACAGTCCTGGGGTCAAACATTACCACATCAAAGAAATTGATGACACTCCCAAACGCTATTACCTGGCAGAAAAACATATCTTCGACTCCATTCCAGAACTTATCAAATACCATCAGCACAATGCAGCAGGTAAAGGAATTACAGTGGGTGGTTATAATGAGAATCTATATGAAAAGAGCAGGCTTAATTAAATGTGATTGAGTCCCAGATTAAACAGCATAGCAGGAGACTATTCTACCCATCAGATCTCTACTAGTGTTTATCAGCCCAGCCTGTTGGTCTCCCGTTAGCCCAGAACGTGAGTATTTCTGTAAAAAGAAACATGCTGTTGAAGATTTTCATCTTGCATTCATCAGGACGGAAGGAAGAATATCAGATTTCAAAGGCATGTGATAACGTTGTAGCTTTAAGAGGTTATTTTGTCCTTTCTTTGTAGAGAACGATTGAACAAGAGGGAGAAGAGCTTGTCAGTAAGAAAGTAAAGAGTTTGTGAGGCCTTGGGGTATTTTTTAAAGATGTGTCAATACAAGCAGCCTGGCTTGGTGTGGTCTGCTCTCAGAGACCAAGCTTTCTAGATTTTTTTTTAAGATTTAGTTTTAAGCAGTTGTTGTTGTGGGCTTGATGAAATAAAAGCTATCTTTTCCCTCACACACACTTTCTGCTCTGAGGAACGGTCATTGGACCTGAAACATTAACTCTGATTTTTTTCTTCACAGATGCTGCCAGACCTGCTGAGCTTTTCCAGCAACTTCTGTTTTTGTTCCTGATTTACAGCATCCGCAGTTCTTTCAGTTGCTATCTTTTCCCTCTCTTGGTTACCGCTGGAAGCTGGTGTTTCTCTCTGCTGCTGGGTTATCTGTGAGACAAGTCTAATTTTCTGAGTTTGCCTTTTTGCCAAGGGTTGTGATTATGGAATGTTACTGTATTGGAACAGTTAATTGGTAATAGCTACTGTATCTATTATACTGTTAAGTTTTCCAAGAGTTAAGTTATTCTAAATTTGTCTTTCTTTGGTTGTATTTTAACTACAGTGTTTAAATAAGAACATAAGAACTAGGAGCAGGAGTAGGCCATCCGGCCCTTCGAGCCTGCTCCGCCATTCAATAAGATCATGGCTGATCTTTTCATGGACTCAGATCCACTTACCCGCGTTCTCTCCGTATCCGTTAATTCCTTTATTGTTCAAAAAAAATCTACTTTATCTTTAAAAATGTTTACTGAAGTAGCGTCAACTACTTCACTGGGCAAGAAATTCCATAGATTAACAACCCTCTGGGTGAAGAAGTTCCTTCTCAATTCAGTCCTAAATCTGCTCCCTCTAATCTTGAGGCTATGCCCTCTTGTCCTAGCTTCACCTGCCAGTGGAAACATCCTCTCTACTTGTATCTTATCTATTCCCTTCATAATTTTATATGTTTCTATAAGATTCCCCCTCAATCTTCTGAATTCCAACTAATATAATCCCAATCTACTCAGTCTCTCCTCATAAGCCAACCCCCTCAACTCCGGAATCAACCTAGTGAACCTCCTTTGCACCCCCTCCAGTGCCAGTACATCCTTTCTCAAGTAAGGAGACCAAAACTGCACACAGTACTCCAGGTGTGGCCTCACCAGCACCTTGTACAGCTGCAACATAATAAATTGTATTGCTTAATGTTGAGTAGTTTGACCATCGTATTGCATCTGGAACATGGCACTTTATATTTGCCTTTAAAGTAAGAAAAAGTTTGGGTCTAGGCTAGCTTCTTAAAATATTTTGATGGGGACTGGTCTGGCCCATTACAGGCACTATGCAGTATATATTGATATTGCCTTTGAAACTTGGCATTCTTACATCTGTAAGATGAAAACCTTCGACGGCCTGTCTCTTTTATGTCAGGGATAGTCAAGTCCCACTCGATCGATCAATCTCAATCCCCTGCTCTTTCCTGACAGATCTTTCATTCATTTTTCTTTTTTTGAGTATCTTTTCAAATCCCATTTGAAAGTCATTCTTGAATCTTCCCTTTTAAGCAGTGCAGTCCAGGTCATTGTAGTGATGTGTAAGCTGATGGGTTCAATCAGTCTCAGTCAACTGTGGGGCACAAACCCATAATTTGCATCTTCCCTCTTTAATAAGATTGTTTCCTAACTGTGATAAGTTGTAGTGTCAAGAGTGAAGCAGGGATCATAGAATCATTGGTTAGAGACAGAAAAACTGCAGATGCTGGGATCCAAGGTAGACAAACAGGAGGCTGGAAGATCACAGCAGGCCAGGCAGCATCTGGAGGAAAGGAACAGTCAACATTTTGGGTATTACCCTTCTTCAGGACTGAAGAAGGGTAATACCCCAAACGTTGACCGCTCCTTTCCTCCACATGCTGCCTGCCTGGTTTGCTGTGTTATTCCAGCCTCCTGTTTGTCTATCATAGAGTCATTGATTGGTTAAGGTGGGGAAGAAGGCTGTTCAGCCCATCATGTCTGCACAGTCTATTATCCAGTCTGGTTCTATTAGCTAGCACCAATCTCCTGCCTTTTCCCCACATTCCTGCACATCATTAATATCCAACATACCATCCAATGCCCTCCTGAATGTCTCAGTTGAACCTGTCTCCACCACATTTCCAGGCAGTGCGTATTGCTTCATTTGCACATTGCTTTAAATCTATGCCCCTCTCATTCTTGTTCCTTTTACAAGTGGAGACATCTCCACCCTATCTACTCTGTCTATTCCATTCGTGATTTTGAAAACTTCAATCTCATCTCTTCTCAGTCACTTTCTCTCTGGGGAGAACAATCCCAACTTCTTCAGTCCATCCTTATAACTGAACTTTCCCAGACCTGGAACCATTCTTGTAAATCACATCTGCACTCACTCTAACGCATCCACATCCTTCCTATAACGTGGCACCCACAACTATAGATAATACTCCAGCTGAGGTCTTTTGTGGGACTCAATGTGTTAACTCTGATTTCTCTCCACAGATGCTGCCAGACGTGCTGAGCTTTTCCAGCAACTTCTATTTCTGTTTCTGATTTCCAGCATCCACAGTTCTTTGTTTTATAATATGTGTATGTCACAAGTCTTCTGTGATCTCTTTCCCTCACTACTAGTGTGTTCCAACAGGACTGCACCTTGTGTTATGGAGTCATACAGTCATATGGCACGGAAACATACCCTTCACTCCAATCAATCTATACCGACCATGATCCAAAATGAAACTAGTCCCACCTGCCTGCATTTGACTCATATCCCTCCAAACAATTCTTATTCATGTACTGATGCAAATGTCTTTTAGATGTTGTAACTGTACCCGCATCCACCACTTCCCCTGGAGCTTCATTCCACATACAAACCACTCTCTGTGTAGAATTCTTTCTTTCCTCTCTTTCTCCTCTCACCTAAAAAATATGCCCCCCAGTCTTGAAATACCCTACCCCAGGGAACAGACACCTTTTTATAAACCTCTCTAAGCTCCTTAACTTCGCACAGTCCGGTGAATAAAGTCCCAGCCTCTCCTTATAAATCCATTCCCGGCAGCATCCTGGTAAATCTCTTCGGACCGCTCTCCAGCTTAATAATATCCTTCCTATAACAGAGCGAATGAACTGGACACAGTGCTCCAGGATATGCTTAAGATAGGGAAGGAATGTCAGTGCCAAAAATTGTCAATTGTTGAGATTGTTGTGTGTTACAGGTTTGGTCACTCGGCTGAGATACCCAGTGTCTTCATGGAGAGAGACTGCTCCTTCAACAGCTGGTTTCAGTTATGGTAAGTGACTTTGCTTTCCAATGTGAAGAAAGCAAAGCCAAATACTGAATGGGAGACAAACAAAGAATTGCTGATCCCATTAGCTGATGATGTAAAATGAAGGGACACCCCTTTAAGGTTCAAGGACAGAGATTTGGGGAGGGACTGTTGGAAGATCTTGTGTACGTAGTGAGTCGTAGCGACCTGGAACCTGTTACCCAGAAAGAAGGTGCATGCAAAGATGATCAGTGATTCCGATAGGGAATTGGAAGGGCCCTTGAGAGAAATAAGCCAGCAGGGGCTACAGGAATGGAGCTGGAGGATGGGACTGAATGGATTGCTCTGCAGAGAGCTGGCATAGGCTAAATGGGTCAAATGGCTTCCCTCTGTGTCAGAATGACTCTGAGTCTGAGCAATGCCTGTACCTTTCTGGACCCAGGACCAATCCCTCGATTTCGTATTCCTAGAAAAACCGCAACAACCACTACAACAACAACTTTCATGTACATCGTGCCATTATACAGTAAACTGTCCCAAACTGCTTCACAGAAATGCAAGTTGGGCAACATTTGGCAATGAGCCACATGAGCCAATATGATAACAGATGGCCGAAAACATAGTCAAAACAGTAGGTCCTAAAGGAAGCATTTCAGGTGAGGAGACAGAGGTAGAGATGGAGAGTGATTTGAGGAGGGAATTCAGTTGAAGATGAAGTGTGGTAGATGCAGGAAGAGTTTCAAAATTTAAACGACGTTTTGGACAGGTACGAGAATGTGAAAGAATTAGAGACATGTGGGCCAAACATAGGCAAATGGGAATAGTTTAGTTTGGGTTGGACTGAAGGTCTATTTCCATGTTGTATGAATCTATGACTATCACTATGAAGGATTTAACAATTGATTAAAAGCAGTAAACATCATCCCCTGTGGTGATGTTACAGGGATTTAGTGGAGGAAGCTGGAAGAGGCAGACATGGGGTCTGGTTGCTCCTATCTGTCTCTATAGAAATGTAGAGCAAATTCTTGTATCCTGTATAAAGTTGTGGTTATGCAATAAGTTTCATATTGTTTATTCATCAAGATTATTCTAGTTAGACCAGAAAGATGGCTACCCTCATCCTCAGAAGGGTATTATCACTGACCCTGTTAATGCAGAGACCAAGGTAATGTTCTCGGGACCCAGGTTGTATCCCACAATGGCAGATAGTGGTATTTGAATTCAATAAAAATCTGGAAATACAAGTTTAATGTTGACCATTGCAGATTGTTGGAAAACCCATCTGGTTGACTAATGTCCTTACCTGGTCTGGCCTACATGTGACTCTAGACCCACAGTGATGTGGTTGACTCTTACCTGCCCTCTAGGCAATTAGGGATGGGCAATAAATGCTGGCCTTGTCAGTGATACCCATATCCTACGAATGAATAAATATAAAATTCTAGAACATTTCAGGCTTGAAGGAAGCCGTGCTTAAATTCTAGAGCTTTTGGGCCTATGCAGTTTGGAGTGATTAAAATCCAGGGATGCTCAAGCAGTCTGGAAGAATGGAGAGACTATTAGGGTAGTAGGGCTGGAGGAGGTGGCAGAGGAGGAAGGAGGCCATGAAGGAATTTAAAAATAGTGATGCAAGAGGCTTTGCTGGGCCAGGAACCAATGCTGAACAGCAATGACAGTGTGGTAGTCCATCAAGACTTGAGTTCTTATAGCACGGGCAGCTAAGCTGGAAGTACTGAAACTTATGGAGCATGGGAGATGGGTGCGTCTCGGGACAGTCAAGCCAAGAGGTAAAGACATGGGTGAGGATTTCAGCAGCAGACGAGCTGAGGCAGACAGTGTTATGGACATTCAAAGGCATTTGAGAGCAAAACAGCAAACAGCTGGGGTGGCACAGTGGCTCAGTGGTTAGCACTGCTGCCTCACAGCGCCAGGGACCTGGGTTCAATTCCACCCTCGGGCGACCGTCTGTGTGGAGTTTGCACATTCTCCCCGTGTCTGCGTGGATTTCCTCCAGGTGCTCTGGTTTCCTCCCACAGTCCAAAGATGTGCAGGTTAGATGGATTGGCCACGCTAAATTGCCCATAGTGTTCAGGGATGTGTAGATTAGGGGGATGGGTCTGGGTGGGATGCTCCAAGGTCTGGTGTGGACTTATTGGCCCATAGGGCCTGTTTCCACCCTGTAGGGATTCTATGAACATACAGCACTGTGTGAAGATCCAGCTTTGATGTTTTGCCTGGTGTCAACAGGGACCTGGGAAATTGCAGCCACATCCCTCACCTTCATTGAGGAGGTGGGCAGCGGCCAGTTTGGTGTCGTGCACATGGGTTACTGGAAGAACAAGTACCAAGTGGCCATCAAGATGATACGGGAAGGAGCTATGTCTGAGGAAGACTTCATCGAGGAGGCTCAAATCATGATGTAAGTGGATGAGCAGTTCGATCTCTTGTGCTGTCAGAGGGCCTGAGCCAAGGAGAGACAGAAAGTTCAATAGAGGGAGAGATAGAGAGGCGTGCTGCAGTTTGGATGTTAACAGATGTAGTGGAGAAATAGTTTCAGATATTGACATACCACAAACATGAGGGGCATGGATAGGTTGAATAGCCAAGGTCTTTCTCCCAGGGTAGGAGAGTCCGAAACGACAATCACACGTAAAGGTATCTGGATGGGTACATGAATAGAAAGGGTTGAGGGGAATATGGGCTAAATGCTGGCAAAGAGACTAGATAAGTTTAGGATACCTGGTCAGTGTGGACTAGTTGGACCGAAGGGTCTGTTTCCCTGCTGTATAACTCTATGACCATGACTATGACTATAACAGGCTCCACAACAGTCACACGAGTGTAGACAATTACTGCTCCATCTGCATTTGGGAATCATAGAATAGTAGAATCCCTACAAGGTGGAAAGAGGCCATTCAGCCCATTGAGTCCATAATGACTCTCCGAAGAGCATCTCACCAGATCCACCCTGTCGCATAACCTGCATTTCCCATGGCTAATCCACCTAACCTATTCATCCCTGGACACCACGGGCTAATTTAGCATGGCCAATCCACCTGACCTGCACATCCTTGGATGTTTTGGATTTTACTATCTGGTTTTGGGATACAGTCTGTTGTTGAGTTACTGAATGACCAGCTGACCCTTTGTCACCTCCACTCTCTCCCCTTTGTTCTTGTCCAGTGTCTCCCCTGCTCCCCAAATGTCCAGTTTTACCGAAGAGTCCAAATCTAGAATTTCCACCGGTTTCTGATCTTTTGCTTTCAAGCTAGTCATGTTTCTTCCTGTGGGAGGTACACCAGTTTCACAGCAAAGATACAGGGTGTTCAGTACAAGGGGGCCCTGCTGGTGTTCATGGTCTTGTTTGCTTCCTGGCACCCTTCCTCACCTCAGCCCAGGAACAAAACCTTCAACTGCTTTCTCCTTCAGACATCTCAATCTCATCAAAATGATCTGTTGTAAAGGGAATGTGGGAACAGAATGTCGCTGGGGTTTTGTCTACAGAGATTTTCGAAGGTGGCAGGAAAAGCTGGGAAAACAGTTAAAGAGGGCTATAGATCACAAGCATTATGAATATAGGCAGGGAACACAAAAGTAAAGGATTAATGACCAACTTTTATAAAAGAAAAGTCTGGCTAATCCTCAGCAGGAATTTTCCCAGTTCTGGGTGCCTCGCTATAGGAAGGCCATGTGGACATTAGAGAAGGTACACAACTGTTGTGTGAGTGTTTCCTGGGATGAAGAGATGTACAAAATGATCAGAGGTATAGATAGAGTGGACAGCCAGAGACTTTTTCCTAGGGTGGAAGTAGCTATTACGAGGGGGCATAATTTTAAAGTGAGTGGAGGTAGATATAGGGGAGACGTCAGAGGTAGGTTCTTTACTCAGAGAGTGGTCGGGGCATGGAATGCATTGCCGGAGAGGGTAGTGGAGTCGGCCTCATTAAGGGCATTTAAGTGGCTTTTAGATAGGCATATGGATGATAGTATAAGGTAGGGGTGGCGGTTAGATAGACCTTAGGATTAGTGTAAATGTTCGGCACAACCGAAGGGCCTGTACTGTGCTGTACTGTTCTATATTCTATGTTCTATGAAGGACTTTGGTTACAGTGAAGAAAAGCCAGTGCTGTTCCTCTAGGAGAAGGGAAGGTTAAGAGGCAGTTTGATAGAAGGGTCCAGACAGAACAAATGGATAGAAACTGTTCCTCTTCATGGAAGGGTTGAGAATGAGGCCACAGATTTATGATTAAACAAAAGGTGCCAGGAAGACAGGCTTTTTTATGCAGTGAGTGGTTAGAATCGGGAGTAGATTAAGAGTCTGAGTATATAGTGAGGGCAGATCTGATTGTGACAATCCACAAGGAATTGGATGAGTACCACGCATTAAATGCAAAATAAAACAGGATGTACAGGAAATATTCAGTAGGTCAGGCAGCTTCTGTGCAGAGAGGAACAGTGGAAGGGTGAATTTTACAGCTCCCCACTACCAGGTTTTCAGGTGGGGAGGTGGTCCCATTAAATTCACCCCTGCTCCCCCAGGGGTTCCTCTCTCAAAGCACCCCACTACCATTCCTCTCATCCTATTCCCCACTTCATCCTGACTCTGACCTTAGGTTCCAGGGACCACATGTAGTCCCGACACAGGCTATCTGTCGTGGTGGTGCTGTTGGGACCACAAAGCTGAAGTCCAATCAGAGTGCAGGCCAGCAGCTCTGTGAGGTGGGACTTCTTCTTTGAAGAGGCACGGATGTCTCACCTCCACCAACTAACACTCCGAGTGATCTACACTGAGGGGCAGCCACACTGGAGAGGGCACAATCCCTCCTAATCCTTTGGATAAGGAGCAGGAAACTCGGCCAACCCGAAAGTTTTACCCAAATTTTCAGTCCATTTTTCATCAGACTTCAAATCAGTGGGTTTGGCCTGGAGTATTTCCAACAGTAGAGGGTTTTACATTTTCACCACTTTCTGGATCAAGAGGTTTCTCCTGAATTTCCCATTGGATATATTAGTGGTCTCTTAACTTGACCTTGCTCGGAAGTAATGGGGATATTTGTGTCCAAGGATGGGTAGGTTTGGTGGATTAGTCAAGGGAAATGCAGGGTTACAGGATAGGGTAGGCTGCTGGGTCTGGGTGGGATGGTCTTCGGAGAGTCATTGTGGACTTTAATGAACCTCTTTCTATTATTCTATGATCACCAAGCTCAATGAGGCAGTATGCACTATTCCTGTAGGGTGGAGATATTCAGGGTTTAGTGTGGTGATAACAAAAACACTTGCTAGTCTAACAAGGGGTGGCTTTTGTCTCTATCAAAGCTCATATATTGTATGTTAGGGTACTCCTCAGCATTAACCCTTTCAGATCTTTACATCCTTATACAACAAAAATGGTGCTTTCATTGACATTCCGGCTCCAAAAGCATTTTCTTGTGAAATTTTGTCCAGCAGATTAAAAGCATAAAACATTGATCTCAGAGACATAGAGAAATCTTGAAGGGGCTGCATGAGTTGGAGGAGAGAGAGAGAGCTGCATGGACAGAGCCAGAGATAGAGAGAGAGTTTGGGGAATGTGTAAACAGAGACAGGTAAATGAGTGGGAGAATGTGAAAGGGAGAGAAACATAGAGGACGGCTAGTAAGAGTTATGAACAGGAAGACTGGCAGATAGAATCATAGAATAGAATCATAGAATCCCTACAGTGTGGAAACAGGCCCTTCGGCCCAACAAGTCCACACCAACCCTTGGAGCATCCCACACAGGCCCATCCCCCTATAACCCACCTAATCTACACATCCCTGAACACTATGGGCAATTTAGCATGGCCAATCCACCTAGCATGCACATCTTTGGACTGCGAGAGGAAACCAGAGCACCCGGAGGAAACCCACGCAGACACGGGGAGAATGTGCAAACTCCACACAGACAGTCGCCCGAGGGTGGAATCAAACCTGTGAGGCAGCAGTGCTAACCACTAATAGACAAGCGAGAGAGAAAGAGCAAGATAAATGGACAGAGAGTCTAAAGCATAGACAGAGAGAGTGTGAGACAGAAAGAGAGAGACAGTGAGAAAAGAACAGATAGAAGTGGACCTACATAGAGAAAGTTACAAGCAATGATTGGTTTACTCTATGAGGTCCCCTGTGTTTGTCAATGATTCCAAGCTATCTTTCAGTTCCAGAACCTTATCTTTTGGTTACATTTGAAGACATGCTTCAAATTTAGGCATTTAGCACACATGCCTTCATTGCTCGGACCTTTGGGAAGTTATGTTGAGGTTGTACAAGACGTTGGTGAGCCGTCTTCTGGAGTACTGTGTCCAGTTCTGATCTCTCCGTTATAGGAAGGATATTATTAAGCTGGAGAGGGTTCAGAAGAGACTTTGTACGATGTTGCCGGGAATGGAGGGTTTGAGTTATAAGGAGAGCCTGGATAGGCTGGAACTTCTTCATTGGAGCATAGGAGGTTGAGAAGTGACTTTGCAGAGGTTTATAAAATCATGAAAAGTATAGATAGGATTAATAGTAGGTGTCTTTTCCCTAGGATGGAGGATTTCAAGACCAGGGGGCACATTTTAAGGTAAGAAGAGAGAGATTTAAGAAAGACAAAAGGGGCACATTTTTTACACAGAGGGTGGGTCCAAGTGTGGAATGAATTTCCTGAGAAAGAGGTGGATGTGGGTACAGTTGCAATGTCTAAAAGACACTTAGCTAAGTACACGAATAGGAAAGGTTTGGAGGGATATGGGCCAGCAGCAGGCAGGTGACACTAGTTTAGTTTGGGATTATTGTGAGCATGGACTGGTTGGGTTGAAGGGTCTGTTTCTGTGCCATATGACTCTATGACCCAATAGTGATGGCCATGTTGTGAGTACTCCTTCCTTGACTGTCAAAGCCTGAGATGGGACTTGATGCTCAAACCTCCTGGCTCAGAGATAGGAATGCTACCCACTGTGCCACAAGATGTATAACATGTTAAATCTGAAAATTCATTCAAACATATCCAACTACCTTTTAAAGGTTCCCGGGCAATCTGGTTCCACCACTTTGGTAGCTCATTCCAGATTTTAACAACCTTCCCTGTGAAATAGCTTCTCCTCATTTCCCATCATGTACTTTTGTCAATTACTTGAATTCTATAATTGCTTCTTGTTGACTCCTTTGCTTCACCTGGTTGGCCCATCTTGTTAGCCTTGGCCCAGTGATGAGCACTGTCACCTCTGAGTTCTGGGTCAGAAAGATAGGCCCGTGCAGTACTGTGGGAGAGCTTCGCTGCCGGGAGTGCTCACTTTCAGATGAGATATTCGAGTGGAAACGTTGAGAAATTCTCCCTGTTGTCCTGGGCTGACATTTATTGCTCAATCAACATCCCATTGCTGTATATGACAGCTGGCCATGTTTCCTACATTACTACCTTTAACAATACCTGATTGGGGTGACCTGAAATTACAAAAGGGGCTATACAAATGCAAGTCTTTTTTTTCTCTCTCTCTCTCTTTGTTGCTAGGAGACTGTCTCATGAGAAGCTTGTGCAGTTGTACGGTATCTGTACACAGAAAGGGCCAATCTATCTCATCTTTGAGTATATGAAGTATGGTAGTCTGTCTGAGTACCTCAGGACCAACCGAGGGGGTTTCAACAAGGAGACCCTCCTGGGCATGTGCCAAGATGTGAGTGAGGGGATGGCATATCTGGAAAGCAACAAATTCATCCACCGTGACTTGGTAAAGATGTTTGTTTCTCTTCAGTTCAAGTGAAATATTTTGTTTTGAAGAAGACTGCTCAGCTCTGCATCTCGTGTTTCTCTAATCAGCTGCTCCAGAAAGGAAATCATCTTAGGCCTGGTCTCACTGGGCCTGGCTGTTCTGGGATGCAAGGGATTATGTTGCCCATGGTTGGCAGCACCTCACCAAGGCTAGGCTGGGAAACAGTCATCCTGGGGTGTGTCCCTGCTCAGTTGGCTGGACAGCTGGTTTGCAATGCAGAGTGATGCCAACAGCATGGTTTCAATTCCCCCACACCAGCTTACTCTGAAGGACTCTCCTTCTCAATGTCTCTCCTTTCCTGAGGAGCGGTGACCCTCAGGTTAAACTACCACCGGTCGTCTCTCTGTCTCATAAGAGAGCAGCCCAATGGTCCTTTGAGAACTTGGTGACTCTACGTGTGGTTAATTCAAGCCCTCATACTGAGGTCAATGGGTTTGTGTTGAGGGATATGGAGGGGAGACCGAAAAATGGACTTGAACTTCATTTCAACCATTAACTGGTTGATGACAATTGAGGGGCTAAATAGTCTCCTGTAAATCTGATTCGTGCTTTACGCTGAGCTGTGAACATTAGCAATGTGGGGGAAGGCAGAAAACTTTTGTTTCATTGGCCTAATGCTTTACACATTTCCATTTTTGCTCGTGTTCGATCAGCTTGTAACATCTCACTTTGCCTACAGGCAGCAAGGAACTGTTTAATAGGGGACTCACTGTCGGTTAAAGTATCAGATTTCGGAATGACAAGGTAATATTTTCCCGTCTGCTGGCAGATGGCCAATACCCCTTGATTAGTGATTGTATTTATCAGCTAATGTTCTCGCTCTTGCTTTCATCGCTCAGTGCATTAAGTGTAGCAGTTGGGAGGTCATGTTGCAGCTGCACAGGACATTGGTTAAGCTACTTTTGCGATATTAGAGTCACAGAGTCATAGAATTGTACAGCATGGAAACAGACCCTTCGGTCCAACCAGTCCATGCTGAATATAATCCCAAACTAAACCAGTCCCACCTGCCTGCTCCTGGTCCATACCCCTCCAAACCTTTCCTATAACTCAAACCCTCCATTCCCAGCAACATACTGGCAAATCTCCCCTTCACCCTCTCCAGTCCAACAACTTCCTCCCTGCAACAGTGTGTTCACTTCTGGTCTCCCTGCTATTGGAATGATGTCATTAATTTGAAAGGATGCAGAAAAGATTTACAAGGATGTTGCCAGGGTTGGAGGGTTTGAGCTATAGGGAGAGGCTGAATAGGCTGAGGCTATTTTCCCTGGAACATCCGAGGATAAGGGGTGACCTTATAGAAATTTATAAAATAGTGAGGGGCATGGATAGTGTGAACAGCCAAGGTCTTTTTCCCAGGGTACGGGGAGTCCAGAAATTTAAAAGGGACCTACAGGGCAACTTTTTTCACACAGAAGGTGGTGTGTGTAGGGGAGCTGCCAGGGGAAGTGATGGAGGTGGGTACAATTACAGAATTTAAAAGGCATCTGGGTGGGTATATGAATATGAAGGGTTTAGAGGGATATGAGCCAAATTCTGGTAAGTGGGACTACATAAATTTAGGATATCTGGTTGGCATGGACAAGTCAGACCAACGAATCTGTTTCCGTGCTGTACTACTCTATGACTCTATGACTCTGTTCATGGGAATCAGGGTTAGGGGTATTCTCCTGCTGTTTATTTCTGGTTTTAAGTGTATTGGGGTCAAGGAGATTGGAAATGGTCTGAATGTAAGCTCATACCTTGGAGAAGATCTGCCTGTGTATGTTGTGAAACTGGAGGTGAGCCACATCCAGGTTCTCATCCATGGTTCACGATCTCCTAATGAAGGCACTGGGAAGGTAAGGCTCAGCTCAGGCAGCCTGGTGCCCACTTTGTATTTCATGCCCCCACCCTGCGTGGTGCTGTGGTGTTGTCCCTCCATTTTCACTGTTTCTTTTTCTCACCTCCCCCAATATTGGCCGAAGGTTCGTCCTTGATGACCAGTACACCAGCTCCTCAGGCTCAAAGTTCCCAGTCAAGTGGTCAGCTCCAGAAGTTTTCCGATACTCCAAGTTCAGCAGCAAATCCGACGTCTGGTCATTTGGTAAGAGACCATCCGTTGTAGTTTTAAGACGATTGGCAAAGAGGAATGGGAGATGGGGTCAATAGATGTGAAGCTGGAAAAGCACAGCAGGTTGGACAGCATCTGAGGGGCAGGAATGTCAATGTTTCGGGCCAAAACGCTTCATCCTGGTGAAGGGTTTCGGCCCAAAATGTTGACTTTCCTGCTCCTCAGATGCTGTCTGACCTGCTGTAGTTTCCCAGCTTCACATTTATTGATTCTGCAGTCCTCACTGTCTCCGAGAATGGGAGGTGGGGTCAGGAGCATTTTGTAGAGAGTTTTAAAGAGTTTTGGGAGAGTTTTAAAATCCGCAACATGCATCCCGACAGGGCAATGGAAGGAGATGCAATAGCAGCTTTCAAAAAGGGAGTTCGATAGATACTTCAGGTGGGGGGAGAAAAGTGCAGCTCCTTAAGGAAAGGAAATATGATGGAACTAAATGCATAGCTCTTTTGAAGAGCCAGCACAGGCACGGTGGGCTGAATGGCCTCATGTGTTGCATAAATCATGTGGAAGGCATCCAACAGATGAGACCAGGTTATTCAAATGAAAAATAAAAATGCAGGGCAGGAAGACAAGATCCACTAATTCAAAAATGCAGCAACTGTCACTGCACAGGTAGAGTTTGACCAACAAACCATGGAATCTTGTCACAACAGCTGAGATCCCTCTGCTAGAGCCTGTGATGAGGGGCGATGGGAGCCAGAAAGGCAGCTTCCCAGTGTTGACCAATTAATGGGCCATCATGAGGCATATCCTTCCTGTTACATACTGAAGGTCATTGCTGAGATTGCAAAAGTCAGGAGCAAGCGTCTCAATATGGTTCAGAGATAGTGGGAACTGCCGATGCTGGAGAATCTGAGATAACAAGGTGTAGAGCAGGATGAACACAGCAGGCCAAGCAGCATCAGAGGAGCAGGAAAGCTGGCGTTTTGGGTCTGGACCCTTCTTCAGAAATGGGGGAGGGGAAAGGGACTCTGGAATAAATGGAGAGAGAAGGGGAGGTGGATGGAAGATGGATAAGGGAACAGATAGGTGGAGAGGAGACAGACAGGTCAAAGAGGCGGGGATGGAGCCAGTAAAGGTGAGTGTAGGTGGGGATAAGTCAGTCCAGGGAAGACGAACAGGTCAAGGAGGCGGGATGAGGCTGGTAGGTAGGAGGTGGGGGGGGGGGTGGGGCTTGAGGTGGGAGGAGGGGATAGGTGGGAGGAAGGACAGGTTAGAGAGGCGGGGATGAGCTGGGCTGGTTTTGGGATGCAGTTGGGAGAGGGGAGATTTTGAAGCTTGTGAAGTCCACATTGATACCATTGGGCTGCAGGGTTCCCAAGCGAAATATGAGGTGCTGTTCCTGCAACCTACGGGTAGCATCGTTGTGGCACTGCAGGAGGCCCAGGATGGACATGTCGTCCAAGGAGTTGGAGGGGGAGTTGAAGTGGTTCGCGACTGGTAGATGCAGTCGTTTGTCGCGAACGAAGCGTAGGTGTTCCACAAAGTGGTCCTCAAGCCTCCGCTTGGTTTCCTCGATGTAGAGGAGGCAACAACGGGAACAGCGGATACAGTATACCTTGCATTTCCCGCAATTCATCCCTCACACCCCCTCCCCGTAATAACAACCAAAACAGAATCCCCCTCGTCCTTACGTACCACCCCACCAACCTCCGGATCCAACGCATCATCCTCCGGCACTTCCGCCATCTGCAATCCGACCCCACCATCAAAGACATTGTTCCCTCCCCACCCTTATCTGCCTTCCAGAGAGACCACTCTCTCCGTGACTCTCTTGTCCACTGCACACTCCACACCAGCCCCACCACCCCCAGCACTTTTCCCTGCAACCACAGCAAGTGCTACACCTGTCCCTACACCTCTCCCCTCACCCCCATCCCAGGCGCCAAGAAAACCTTCCACATCAAACAGATGTTCATCTGCACATCTGCTAATGTGGTATACTGCATCCGCTGTTCCTGTTGTGGCCTCCTCTACATCGTGGAGACCAAGCGGAGGCTTGGGGACCACTTTGTGGAACACCTACGCTCGGTTCGCGACAAATGACTGCACCTCCCAGACACGAACAATTTCAACTCCCCCTCCCACTCCCTGGACGACATGTCCATCCTGGGCCTCCTGCAGTGCCACAACGATGCTACCCGAAGGTTGCAGGAACAGCACCTCATATTCCGCTTGGGAACCCTGCAGCCCAATGGTATCAATGTGGACTTCACAAGCTTCAAAATCTCCCCTCCCCCTACCGCATCCCAAAACCGGCCCAGCTCATACCCGCCTCCCTAACCGGTCCTCCCACCTATCCCTTCCTCCCACCTCAAGCCCCACCCCCATCTCCTACCTACTAGCCTCATCCCGCCTCCTTGACCTGTCCGTCCTCCCTGGACTGACCTATCTCCTCCCTAACTCCCCACCTACACTCACCTTTGCTGGCTCCATCCCCGCCTCTTTGACCTGTCTGTCTCCTCTCCACCTATCTTCTCCTTTATCCATCTTCTATCCGCCTCCCCCTCTCTCCCTATTTATTTCAGAACCCCCTTCCCCTCCCCCATTTCTGAAGAAGGGTCTAGGCCCGAAACGTCAGCTTTCCTGCTCCTATGATGCTGCTTGGCCTGCTGTGTTCATCTAGGTCTACACCTTGCCTCAATATGGTGTCGAGGTGTTTCAGTGGGGAATGGCCACTAGCTCCACCTGGTGTTTGAAAACTGCAGCCTCTAGCTCAGAGACAGTGATGGCTCTCGCTGAGCTAAAGGCTCACTCTTATGTTACTCTCAACACCATTTTATTAATTGCTGTAACGTGCAAATTCAAATTGGCTTCAGCACCAGATACGTGAGTGAGGTTGTGCCCTGGTCACTACGACAGAAACAGGAGCCCCATTAAGTGGAGGTTCCAGAATCCTCTGTAGAGGTTGTGTCACCCATTCATGAAGCTGCTATTCGCTGTCCCATATGGTGACTCTGAAGCCAACAAGAGGGGTTATTTTCCCTGGAACCTCAGAGGCTGAGGGGTGACCATATAGAGGTTTATAAAATCATGAGGGGCACGGATAGGGTAAATAGCCGAGGTCTTTTCCCCAGGTTAGGGAAATCCAAAACAAGAGGGCATGGGTTAAAGGTGAGAGGGGAAAGATTTAAAAGGGACTAAGGGGCAACTTTTTCACACAGAGGGTGGTGCGTGTATGGAATGAGCTGCCAGCAGAAGTGGTGGAGGCTGGTACAATTACAATATTTAAAAAGCATCTACATAGGTACATGGATAGGAAGCGTTTAGACAGATATGGGTCAAATGCTGGCAAATGAGACTTGATTAATTTAGGATATCTGGTTGGCATGGACGACTTGGACTGAAAGGTTTGGTTCCGTGCTGTACATCTCTATGACTCTGTGACTCTAAAAGCTGGTTTCTTCGGAGAATTGGTCTCTAACAGAACTACTCAGAGCAGAAGATGGAAGGATGCTCTCAAGGTCTGAAGAGCCTAGAACAAGGGAGTCACAGTCTAAGGAGACAGGGTAAACCATTTAGGAATGAGATGAGGAGAAATTTCTTCACCCAGAGACTGGTGAGCCTTTGGAATTCACTTCCACAGAAAGCAACCGAGGCTAAAACTTTGTATGATTTCAGGAAGGAGTTGGATATAGCACTTTAGGTTAATGGGATCAAAGGAAATGGCGGGAAAGCAGGAACTGGCTATTGAGTTAAATGGTCAGCCATGGTATTGAATGGCAGAGCAGGTTCAAAGGGCTGAATGGCCTAATTCTGCTCCTATTTTTTATGCTTCCGTGTTTTCTTTACCCGCTGTTCTGTACAGATTAAATGAATGGGTAGAGTTTATGATGGTGTCGACTGTACATGGTCTGTAGGAGGAGATTTGCTGTGCAGGGTAAAGTGCTTCATGTTTGGAAGCAGATAGAAAGGCAATGATTGAGCATGTGAGTGTAAATGAGCAAGATAGAGGCTGACATATTCCTGTCATAGAGTTATAGAGTCATAGAGACATCCAGCACAGAAACAGACCCTTCGGTCCAACTAGTCCATGCCGAACATAATCCCAAACTAAACTAATCCCACCTACCCGCTCCTGGCCAGTATCCGTTCAAACATTTTTCTCATTCATGTACCTATCCAAATGTCTTCTAAACGTTGTAACTGTACCCGCATCCACCACTTCCTCAGGAAGTTCATTTCACACGCGAACCACCCTCTGTTTAAAAAGATTGCCTCTCGTGTCTTCTTTAAATCTCTCTTCTCTGTCAGTTGTGTAACCATGATTCTATTTCCATGCTGTGCAGACACACACGGTAAATGTAATTGTCCAGAACTCCTCTGATCTCTTTTTCCCATAGATATAGAAATTTAGAGAATGCATACCACTGCAAAAATAATCTGTGTATATCGGAAGGTGTCAATGCACATTACAAAGAAAATTCCACCTCCTTCCTCACCTATGTGAGAAGTCACTGTAAACAACGATAATGTTTTATCATGATGTATTTCTGAGTATGTTCACGGATATAGAGGAATATATAGGACATCGGTACCATGAAAAATCTTGCATCAACATGTGAGAGTGCCTGTCTTTTGTACAAAATTGAATCAAACCTTGTTTTCTGTTCAAATGTTGGAATCAAGCATTAAGAGCTATGGCAGACTGGGATCCTGCGTAAGTAATTAATACAGTTTGCAACTGGATAGAGACAAAAATGGAAATTGCTGGGAATACTCAGCATATCTGGCAGCATCAGTGAAAAGAAAGCAGAGTTGGTGTTTCTGATCCAGTGACGCTTCTTCAGAACGTGATCTCTGCTTTCCCTCCACAAATGCAGCCAGACCGGCTGAGTTTTTCCAACAATTTCTAGTTTTGTTTTTGATTTCTACTTCTTTCAGGGTTTTTTTTTGCATTTATATTTAACATAATAAAACACCTCAGAGGAGCGTTAACAACTAAAACTTGACACTGAGGCTCTGAAAGAGATATCAGGGCAGATGACCAAGTTCTTGCTCAATGAGGTAGGTTTTAAAGAACATGTTGAAGGAGCATAGCGAGGTGGAGAGGTTGAGGAAGGATTGAATGCCCAGGCAGCAGAAGGCTGGACGTCAGCAGTGGAGGAATTGGAATCGGGATGTGTAAGAGGCTCGGACTGAGCAAGGCGGAGATCTTGGAGTGGTGTAGAGATGGCTGAGGTTAGAGGGATAAGGAAATCTGTATCTGCAATGAATAACAGAGAGAGACAAATGAATAGCATGTATCAGGGAGTTACCTCTCACAGTCTCCGTTTTCCTGCAGGGGTGCTGATGTGGGAAGTCTTCTCTGAGGGAAAAATGCCGTATGAAAATCGTTTGAACTCCGAAGTCGTTGAAGAACTCACAGCTGGATTTCGCCTTCATAAGCCAAAACTGGCTTCTCCGTTCATTTATAAAATCATGAGCAGTTGTTGGCAGGAGGTTGGTATAAAGACTGACAAATTCCCCTGGAAATAATCCTCACTTTCACTTTTCCCTCATCGATGCCACCCCTGCACAGGATGTGGAAGCACGTCTCTGTTTCGGGGTGGGGGTGGGCTCAGCTTTTCAACACAAATTACTGATGACCTCAATAAAGGGACCAGACAGATGTCTCTGAGGAAGGGTCTCTCGACCCGAAACACTAACTCTGATTTCTCTCCACAGATTCTGCCAGACCTGCTGAGCTTTTTCCAGCAATTTCTGTTTTTGTTTCTGACTCACAGCATCTGCAGTTCTTTCAGTTTTTATTTAAATGTCTGTCTGTGTTTACGGACCAAGCTAGGAGCGAAAAGTTGTGAAGGGGTGGAAACAGATTAAGTGGCAGATGGAGCTGAGGGTGACAAAGCATATGATGATTCATTTTGGAACTATTGTTGCTAGGTGGGTCGATTAGTTCAGTTGGCTGGCTTGCAAGGCAGATTGATACAGAGACAAGGTGCAGAGCTGGATGAACACAGCAGGCCAAGCAGCATCATAGGAGCAGGAAGGCTGACGTTTCGGGCCTAGACCCTTCATCAGAAAATGGGTTCGATTCCCTCCATGGCTGAGGTTATTCAGGATAGATCAGGTTATTTTCTGACTGATGAGAGAATAGGATTTGTGAATGACCGTGTTTCCATTTACACAAACCATTGGATGGATGTAAAAAGGCTGATGGAATGTAGTTAGCACTGCAGCCTCACAGCGCCAGGGACCCAGGTTTGTTTCCAGCCTCCGGTGACTGTGTGGAGTTTGCGTGTTCTCCCTGTGTCTGTGTGGTTTTCCACCCACAGTTCAAAGATGTGCAGGCTAGGTGGATTGGCCATGGGAAATACTCCATAGTGCCCAGGGATATGTGGGTTAGCCATGGGAAATGTAGGGTTACAGGGATGGGGTGGATGGGCCTGGCTGGGATGCTCTTTGGAGGGTTAGTGCAGGTTCGATGGGCCGAATGGAGGGTTTCTATGATTCTATGAATGTTGACTTAATTTCAAAGGGAATGGAATACAACAACCTACATCAGTATAGTGCCTTTAATGGAGCAATATGAGCTGAGGTGCTTCAGATGTTGTTCTCAAAAAATATGCCACTGACAATGGTGGAAATCACATTAAGGAATGCTGGAATGAATATCTCTCGTCCTTCTAACTGATGGAGTCCGGACTAGTCTCCCATCTTCCATCGTTTGTAAACCTTAGGCCATTTAAAACTTTGCTGCACATAAACTAACTGACATCAAATGCCATTCACCCTTCTTGCTCACTGAAATAGACTGGCTTACGAATAAAAGCGGGTCAGTTTTAAAATTTTTATCCTTGTTTTCAAATCCCTCCATGACTCCAACCCCGCCTTATCTCTAAACTCCTCCAGCTCTGAAAGTCTCTCTGATCTTTGTGCTTCTGCAATGATTTTAATCTCAGATTTTAATCGCTCCACAATTGACAGCTCCAGTTTAAACTCCCTGGGCCCAGGAATTCCCTCTGTAAATGTCTGCATCTAAATTCTCCTCTTTCCCATTTTAAGATGCTTTTTAAAATCTATCTCTTTGATCAAACTTTTTACCATTTGCTTTTCTGTGCTGCTAAAGAATGTTTGCTGTGCCTGCTGATTTGAGGAAACCATTAACTTTTATTCAAGAACTATCCCACACCAGCTTAGGTTACATAAAGGACTCACCTTCTCAATCTCTCCCCTCGCCTGAGGCACAGTGACCCTCAGGTTAAACCACCACCAGCTGCTTTCTCTGATGAGAGAATAGCCCTTTGGTTTGGTAGTAATATGGCCACTTTAATACAGCAAGACATTAATGCACAACAAAAGATATATAAATGCAATGGTGTTGTCATTATGTATGTAGTGAGTGTGTTCTTCTATCCAAAGAGGTGCTAACCTGTAGTGACATAACAAGGTGTAGAGCTGGATGAACACAGCAGGCCAAGCAGCATCAGAGGAGCAGGAAAGCTGACATTTCGGGCCTAGACCCTTCTTCAGAAATGGGGGAGGGGAAGGGGGTTCTGAAATAAATAGGGAGAGAGGGGGAGGCAGATGGAAGATGGATAAAGGAGAAGATACAGACAGGTCAAGGAGGTGGGGTTGGAGCCAGTAAAGGTGAGGAGTTAGGCCTGAAACATCAGCTTTCCTGCTCCTCTGATGCTGCGTTCATCCAGCTCTACACCTTGTTATCTCAGATTCTCCAGCTCCTACTATGTCTAGCCTGTAGTGAGGTGTCCAATAAATATTCTCATTGAATCCCTACAGTGTGGAAACAGGCCCTTTGGCCCAACAAGTCCACACCCATCCTCAGAGCATCCCACCCAGACCCATCCTGCAACACTACAGGCAATTTAGCATGGCTAATCCACCTAGCCTGCATATCTTTGGACTGTAGGAGGAAACCCATGTAGACAGGGGGAAGAATGTGTAAACTCCACACAGGCAGTTGCCTGAGGGTGGAACTGAACCTGGGTCCCTGGTGCTGTGAGGCAGTAGTGCTAACCTCTGCTCCCCTAGACCCTTAAACTGGTCAGCAAGAGTATTGTTTGCAACTAGAGAAAACACATTAACAAACTCCTCTGCCACTAGCTCACATCACCTTGGGAACAATTGGGTTTTTTGGCTGAGTGGGTCGTGCTGTAAAATGGGTGTTAGGTGAGGGTAGGATCTGTTCTCGACTATGATTATTCTTGTGGTTAAATACTGTGCTGACACAATATGGGCTCGCACAGGAAGAACAGCTACTGAGCTGTTGGGGTAATGACAGGGCCCACAAGGAGCCAAACAGCAAAGCCCTGCCCAGGATTGAGGGGCAAGCTTGGAATAAGTCACTCACTGAACTGGGATCATTCGGAAGCCTAACTCAGGTGATCGACCATTCATAATCGACACCTGGAAGTTAAGACTTAATTAACATTTAACCTTTAGGCAAGGTTTTAAAGACTCAATTCAAAGAGAAAATGATTCTTCCGTAAGTTACTTTTCATCAACTCAGATGAAGCTGAAGGTCCTTCATCTTCAGCAATACTGAATCATTTGGAGATTGCAATGGGGCATGGGCACTGTTGAAGGCACTGTGACTCATCATCCACACTGCCCAATCATGGATGGCACTGTCCTTCACAGAGTGGGTATTGTGGGTCAGAGCGCCCCAAGTAGTGGGAAGAGTGAATGGTATGGGTCTGAGTGCTCCTGGTGGTAAGCCCAGTGCTAATCTACTGAGTATTTCAAAACCTCTCTGTTTTTATTTCACGTTTCCGGCATCACAGTATTTACACAACCTGACAACGGTGGCACTAACCTTCACAAAGTGGTACTGGCCTCCATGCAACCATGGGATGGCAGACTGTTAATGATATGGATCACAGTGTTGGGCAATGTTGATGGGTCACAGCGTCCCTGGTGGTGGGCTGTGTTGATGGGTTACAGCGCCCCCGGTGGTGGGCTGTGTTGATGGGTCACAGCGCCCCCAGTGGTGGGCTGTGTTGATGGGTCAGAGCACCCCCGGTGGTGGGCTGT